CTGGGGCCCTGGCTGGGCCGGGGCGTCGCCGGCTGCCTTGCAGCGAGGACGCGGGTGCCGCGAGCAACTTGCTCTGCGATTAATGCTGCCGGCACCAGCGGAGGGATTGTTTCCGCAGGAAGCAAATGCCAAGATACCAAGATACCTAATAAATGAATTTAGCGTCCTGGTTCACCTCTAACCTTCACCGCCTCCGTCTGCAGGGCAAAGAAGAAACGCCCCTGGAAGCAGTGAGTGGTAGGAAACTTATCTGGGTGCAGCGAGTCCCTCGTGGTCCCCCGCTGCCACTGTCCTGGCATCCGTCTGGGAGAGGCAGAAGATGGCAGCCCTGCCCTCCGAGGCCGGGGGAAGGTCACAGCCCCATCCACCTACACAGCAGAAGATATTAATGAAACATTAGGTGACGGTTCTGGCGGGCAGGCTTGTTTCCCATCGGGATGCTCCTATTTAACCTTGATGGGGAACCCCAACCGGTAAGCGAGGGGTGGCAGCCAGCAGCATCCCGCGGTTCGCAGCACACCCCTGGGCGATTGCGGCCGCTGCCCCGGTGCGAGCAGCCCTCCATCCATCCCCCCCTCCCTCTGCCGGCAGGTACGCGGCCCGGGGGCCCGAAACCAGAGACCGCCCCGCCCTCCGCCGCCTGTCCCACTACCTGCTGGCCCACTACCAGAAGGGCACCCGGCCTGTCCGGGACTGGCGAACGACCACCAATGTGGCCATCGACCTCATGGTCTACGCCATCCTCAGCGTGGTGAGTCCTCTGCTCCCACCCTGCATGGGGTGGGGGCAGCTGCCTTCAGCGTGGGCAGCTCCTGCACGTCCGCAGCAAGGGGAACGGTACCCGGTGTGCAGCATCCTCCTGGCACGCTCTGCCCATCCTCCAGAGTTCCAGTACCCCCTGTGCCGACACTGTGTCCTCTTCTTCCCGCAGGATGAGAAAAACCAGGTGCTGACCACCTACATCTGGTACAGGCAGGTGAGCAGATGAGACCATGCAACCTCGCCCCTCCCTCGCTGGGACCGCCCCCCCCAGGGCTGAGCACCCCTGCAAACATAGGTTTGGAGAGGCATGCAGCCCTGAAGGAGCGGAGCAAGTTCAAAGCCATCCCAGGGGATGACGAGACCTCTGTAGAGCATGAACCTCAAGGCACAGCTTTCATGCTCCGTGCTTCACACCACTGGGTGGTGCGATAGCTGGAGGATGAGCCTTCCCGCCCTCCCATGGATGGCGTTGAAGATTGGTTCCCATGGCAGGGTGCTAATGTGGGTTTGGGTCCTGGCACGGTGGAAGGGACCTTGCCCTCCAAACCCCTCTCCCTTGTCCCTCAGCACTGGACGGACGAGTTCCTCAGGTGGGACCCGACGCGCTTCGACAACCTGACGCAGATCTCCCTCCCCGTGGAGAGCATCTGGGTGCCCGACATCCTCATCAACGAGTTGTGAGTGAGGTGAAACCCCTGGGGCCGCGGCAGGCAGCCCCGGGGTTCGGACCCCCCTCGCCCACCGCGGGCACGTGCCGCCCCGCGCTTTGTATTCCCGGCACGGGGCTGCCGGCCTCCCCGCATCGGGCGAGCTGCAGATGGGGAACGGCTCGGCAATTGGGCCATTTCCAATGCTGGCTAACCGCAACCGTCAGTAATTA